AGAGAGAGAGAGAGAGAGAGAGAGAGAGAGAGAGAGAGAGAGAAGTGGTGACATCAGATGTCATCAGCAGCCGAAGCTGGAGCTGAAATCTGCAGGAGGCAACTATCGTCTGCCGAGATTGATGTTGCTGGCTCTGCTGGAGAATGTGATCATGATGGTTTTGCTTCAGCTATTAATACGCACATGATTCGTGATGCTATCGCTTCTCCTGCTCAGATCTTATACGTATGTTTAGGGTAATATTATTATCATATTATCAAATTTGATCCTGTTTGCACTTCTTCTGTGGTCGGATGCTTGTCATTCTACTGTCAAATTTGATGACGATGGTTTCTTTTCCCCCCTGTTTCTTCATTTTGGACCATTGCTCTCTTGTGTGTCATCCTTGTACAGGGGTTATGCTAATCTTCTTTCTCTATATCGTTCCAATTTTAACGGATGTCCCAAAGGACATGACAATGTCTCTGGTGCGGCTATTGATACGTATGTGATGCATGACGCTATATTGCTTCTCCTGCTAAGATCATCAGGATGCTGTTCCGGCTTCTCTTGTGATCTGATGCATCACTTGTGTGGCTGAAGTTGAGAGATCTCCTTCAGCATGCAGTCATGAGTAGGTGATAAAACTGTTTTTTTTTAATAATTAATTAATTATATATATATTTAAGGAAAGAATTATATCCCATTCATTGAGCTCACTAGGATTCAAACACAGGTTTGTTTTCATGCGTGTACCAACTGAGCTATGGTCTTCACCCGAATAGAACACCCGGTCATTATAGCTGTCTTCGGGGCAACATTCAGTCTGAATACATGCGTAATGACCAGGCGTTCAATTGAGGTGACGACGGTAGGCCTGTGGGTATGATTCTAAGATGGATACTGTCGAGTCGTCTACCAATTATGGGGTACGTGATGAAATCTGAGATCAATGGTATTGCTTCTTCTGCCAGTGGAATAGACTATGCTCTTCAATGTACCTCTCTGTTCTCATGAGTGTACCCATCTATTTATAATGATGTCTATGACATCCGTAATAGACTGTGCTCGTGGGTGTGCATGTCGGTCTATTGACTCCATTTGTGTGCTCTGCCTGGCTTGTTGATCAGCTTATTTCTTTCTCTTCCTCCTCCTATTGCTTCCTTTGCTAATTACGGGTATGTGATGAATCTGAGATCGGGGCTATTGTTTCTTCTGGCAGCTATAGGTACAGAGCGAATGTAAGATCGAGGCTATTGCTCCCTCCGTCCTTCCCTCCCTCCCTCCCTCCCTCCCTCCCTCACCCACTCACTCACTCACTCACTCACTCACTCACTCACTCACTCACTCACTCACTCACTCACTCATTCGCTCATTCACTCACTCACTCACCTTCCCACCCACCGACCCACCTGGCTGGCCACCCGTGGGGAGCTGCCTATGACGAAGGTACCAATATCACAGTGCAGAGCTCTATTACCGTCTTCACCCGAATAGAACGGCCAGGCATTATAGGTGTATTTGGTGCAACTCCCAGTCCAAATACAGCCATAATTACCGGGCGGTCTATTCGGATGAAGACGGTAGGAGAATCTATCAGCTGGCATCCGTAGGTGGAGCTCCATGTTTAGTTCTCCTGCTCGAAGGAAACCAAGGGGATGGGTGACTGGCAGAGGCAAGCCTGCCAGCTCAATGTGTTCACATGAGGGTGCTGTGCTGGATGCAGCGTTCAGCTAACGACAAGGCACACCTTTGTATTTTCCCATCAGAGTGGCTCATCATAAATTTGGGGCAAGCTGCTCATCAGATTTCCTCTTCTATTTTGCATTGCTGACACAATCTCACGTTCGAGCGAGAAGGGAAGTTGGTCACAATGACACTTGGTCCTTGTTTGTCGTCATGTCGCCTTCAACAAAAAGAGTGGAAAGACAAACAACACCATTTCGGCGCCAGCAGACTGAGACATGATGGTCCTCTTGGATAATCTGTGATGATGCCTTCTTTTGGCTGCAATAATGATCATGAACAGATTGTGAACATCTTTTCCTTTGTTTTGCTTCTGTGCCGCTGCTCTTGGTCTTTGACATACTTTGTGCACTGCAATGGCTGATAAGCCCATGGGCCAACAGCCTGACCAGCTGAGATGATGGATGGATGGATGGGTGGGTGGGTTGATGTTATCCTCATGGCATAGCAGAACTACGTGCATGCTGCCTGACAAGGTCGACATGAAGATAGTGAGCTGGCCGCAGCGTTTGCTGACCTGCCAAGGTTGCAGAGCTGTGCCATCCTGATGACCTGTCAACGTCGCAGAGATGATGGCAGCTTGACGACATGGACGTATGAACTACTCGGACAGCGTGGCAACGTCGTCCGCAGCTTTGGATTGTCATGGAGCTGGATTGGATTCAGGCGGAAAGAGAGCTGCTGCTCACATCAAGCAGCAGGGAGCAAAGGAAGTTTTCGAGGAGCGCTCGATGAACAAGCAAGAGAACATTCCTGACATCACCGAGGATGGTAAGTGTGGAGGCTCATCGGGTACGCCGAACCGAATGGCAAGCGATGGAGGGCGGGAGGAAGTGGAGTGTGCTAAGGGGGCGGAAGGGGAAGATAAAGACAACAGCAGTGGCACCCAGGAGAGGGACAATTCATGGCAGGTTCCAGCAGAACGGGGAACGAATGTTGGGAAGGCCGAAATTGTGCCATCGGAAACATCTATGGCTATCATGATCAAGGGCGAGGAGCTGCGTGGGATGCTTGACCGTGATGTTCACAGCTGCGTGTTCTGTGACATCGCACGTGGTCGCAGGAGAGCCTGCAAGCTTCATGAAGATGATGTTTGTATTTGCTTCCTGGATAAGGACCCTCTTGCACCAGGTCATGCTCTGATTATACCGAAGGGCCATTTCTCTTCCCTGAGAACAACGCCCGCTGAAGTGGCAGCGGCAATGTGCGCACTCGTTCCTAGGTTGAGCACTGCCATTCTTGAGGCCACTGGGTGCGATTCTTTTAACTTGCTCGTGAATAGTGGCAGTAACGCCGGTCAGGTCGTGTTCCATATGCATTTTCACATCATCCCGCGGCAGAAGGGTGATGGACTCTGGCAATCCGAGGCTACCTTCCGAAGACCCCTGGGGAAAAGCTATAATGCCGAGGAACTGGCAGCAATGATTTGCCGGAAGCTCATGGTGAGGACCAATGCATCAAGACTGTGAGTGACAAGGTCGTTTTTCTAACCTTCTCATCCATTGCCACACATTTCTGTGATGCAAGGTTGATGGGCTCTTGCACTGCGAGTCAGCCATCACTCTTTGGGAGACGTTCTCCCCGCTGGGGGAGGCATATACAACACAGAGGGAGCTACAGCAATCATGCACCAAAGACTCCCACTGCTGTGTGATAGATTGAGCATTTCTCCTCTTCCTCTTCTTCTTCTTGTGGAGTCTTCTTCTCCTGCAGGAGGAGGAGGAGAGGAATAGGAGGAGGAGGAGGAGGAGACAAAGGGAGCCACCCTCCAGCATACGTGTATTTCCGCCTTGGGATTGCATATCACAATACGACAGATGCGGCTCTTGAAGTGTGGGCGTAACCAGCCAACTGGAAGCTTAGGCGGAGATGTACATATGGACGGGGATATAACTGCAGGCATTACGCAGCCGGGTAGAACATCATGAGGGAGGCACAATGAAAACCAAATGGTGAGGATGCATCTTCCGAGAGACGGGATGACCGCACAAATTGCTCTCATTCTTCTTCTCCTTCCATTTTTATTTTCCCACGCCTTTTACCTCCTTTGTTGTCAGGAAAGTATTCATGTCTGTGCTTGAGGAATCCAGACCGTAGAACCTGAAGGGAACCACTGAGGACCTTGTATGGGTCAAATATCGGTTTGTCATATCTCGACTCCTGGCCGCTCGCCCACGGGTCTTGTGAAGTGGGGCCAAGCACGTTGCACTGGGCTAAGAATGAGCTGAACCTAGCTGGACTGCTGTCCATGTGCAGAACCTGGAAGGAAGGTAACCATGCCCTGTCCAATCGTGCTCGCAGTGGTGTCATTTATCGCCTAGAATCTGGGATCACCATATTCTTGTGTGGGTGTTGTTGGGCCATAGCTTCATCCTCCCATCAGCATGCTACGACCACCAGTTCTGCCTTGAAAGATTGCCAACTGTTCTATTACGTGCTAGAAGACAGTCTTAGTCATCATGCTAGCACCTCTGTCAGACTGTACTTGTCGTGATAGTTCAAAATTCACCCTGTTCTATGCACTGGAAGATGGTCATTATCACCATGCAACCTGGGTTAAGCCGGCGTCCGGTACAGACGGACCGGGCCAGACGGACCAGGGGGGGTCCGTCCGGCAAAACCAGACGAACCAAAATACGTCCCATTTATTATTTTTTATTTTTTTTGAAGATGGGGTTGGACTGCGCTCGCTGAGAGGAGCCCAAATCCGCAGAGAAACTTGTGAAAGGCATGTGTGTTGGGGTGGGAGGGGGGGAGGTAGGATTGGTTTGACAAGGGTGTAAAAGGGTGTGTTGCAGCAGCCAGTCCCCTGAGGGGAGAGGCGGAGGTAGGATTGGTTTGACAAGGGGGTAAAAGGGTGTGTTGCAGCAGCCAGTCCCCTGAGGGGAGGGGCGGGAGGGAGAGGAGGAGGAGGAGGGTGAAGAAGAAGAAGAAGAAGAAGAAGAAGAACCAAACAAAGGACGATGAGGAGCCCCTCCCGGAAACGAAGTCTTATGGTGGGAGACTTAGAGTTTCAAAGTATGTCTCTCTCTCTCTCTCTCTCTCACACACACACACACACACACACACACACACACACACATACACACAYACACACACACACACACACATACACACTTGGACATGCTGGTCACATTTTTTTCCTGTGGAATGAACAAGGAAGGGTCCACTGCCGGCGTGGGGTCTTTGGAGGTCACTGTCTATGCGGGTGTAGTGAAGGTGCTTTTCCTGCAGCCATTTTGCCTTTCATCCTTCCACACCAGCCACTCCCCCTGCCGCTGCCGTTGCCACCCCCTGCCATAATGCCGTCGAAGTAGAGGATGCATGGACCAACACCAAAGGAAAAACGAAAGCAAAAATATCGGAAGAAGAAGAAGAGGAGGAGGAGGGGGAAGAAGAAGAAGAAGAAGAAGAAGAAGAAGACCACAATTGCCGGTTGTGAATGGAGCTGATGTCTGCCCGCTTACGTCCTTTTTTCGGTCACGGAAAAAGAAAAAGAAAAGAACGAACGGGAGACAGCGGGCCGTAGGATATGACGGGCAGTACAATATGGCTGGCGGATGTGCGAGATGGTGGGCGGTAAGACATGGAGGAGGAGGAGGAGGAGGGAAGAAGAAGACGAAAGGAGGATGGGTAGGAAGAGGAGGAGGAGGAGAGAAGGAGGAGAGAAGAAGAGGAAAGGAGGAGGAGGAGGAGGAGGAGGAGGAAGTGAGGAGGAGGAAGAAGAAGAAGATGAAAGGAGGGGGACGAGGAGGAGAGAAGAAGAAGATGAAAGCAGGAGGAG